TTGAATATTCCTCCTGCAGGGGGACAAGCCCGACTTCAGTCTGGCCAGTCCCCAATCCAGGACCTCCGATGGACTCGGGACCCAAGGAGGTCTCGACCCTTCTCCGGGCGCAGCTCTTCGCCCCAGATGACGACTATTTGATGGCCCGGGCCTCGAGAGCTCCCCCCCCCCCCCCCAGAGGCCGAAATCAAGGGAAGACGCCAGGATTCCAGAACTCCGACCCGGCGGCTCTGTTCACAGCGTGGGCCTTCTCCAGAAGACCTTTTCCCAGGGGGCCAGCTTTTCATGCAGTGGGCGGGAGAGGGGGGGCGTGGCGAGGCCCCACTCGGGAGCGGCCAAGAGGGGGTGTCCAAGAGGGGGGGGTGCAAATCATGACCGGCGGCATGTGCGCGGCCCAGCGGGGGGGCCAGGGACGTAATGAAATAAGAAAAGGCGCCATGAGATCTGGGGAAATATCATGGCCCCCGCCATGATATCCCCCCCCCCTTGTCATCACCCCCTTCTTTGCCGCCCCCGGCCCACAGGAAATCTACACCTCACGCCGGGACTCACTTGCACGCCTTTTCGGCCCAGCGCTGCTTCAGGACGCGGCGAAGGGGAAGGGGGGGAAACGCCGCGCAAGCAAACTTGCCAGCGTCTGGTGACACGTACCCGTCGGTCGGAAGAAGTAGGCAGAACCACGACGTAGGACGGCGTTGAAGTAGCTAGGGCTTCCACCCGCCCCTTGAAGATGAGGGAAGAGGGACAAGCGCTCAACTCTGGAAGTATCGGCGGTGGGCACACCTCCCTTTAGTAAACCTCCCCTTAGTGAAAACGGCCTGGGACCGAAAACGGCGGGCCTGGACCCGCAAAAACGACGGCCGCGACGCCCCCCCGCGAACCGAACCCGGCCAGTTCCTGAATCGACGCGTCAGGGCAGGAGGTCTGTCCACCCCCGAAAGTAGGAAGGCGGCTCAAGCAGATTGGGATCGGGGGGTCCAAAGCGGAGGCGGAGGAGGAGGAAGAGGAGGAGGAGGAGGAGGAGGAGAAGGAGAGAACGGGGGATTGTGGAGTCCCTGTGGTTCCAAAGCGCGCGCGCGCGAGGCTTTCGCGCTGAGTTCGCGACTGTTTCTGTGCAAACTCTGCTCTGTGTCGTCTTCCTCCTCCTCCTCCGCCTCCTCCTCCTCCTCCTCCTCCTCCTCCTCCTCCTCCTCCCTCTCCCCCTCCTCCTACCTCTCTGCCTTTTTTTCCTCCTGGCGCCCCCCCCCCCAGATTTTGTTACTTTCTTTTCGTTCTGGGGGGGGGGGGGGGGCGCCAGGAGGAAAAAAAAAAAGAGAAGGAATGCGACGTGGCCACATCTGCCCTCCCCCCTAGAAGGATTCCTATTGAACGCCCCCATAAGAAGGATTCACAGTGAAATCCTCGACAGAAGGGTTCCTATCGAAACCCTCCACTGAATGATTCCGACTGAAATCCTCCACATGTGGATTCCTACTGAAACCCTCCACTGAATGATTCCTACTGAAATCCTCGGATGGCAATGGCAGTGGCAATGGCAATGGCAATGGTAATGGTAATGGTAATGACAGTGGCACTGGTAATGGTACTGGTAATGGTTACGGTAATGATAGTGGCAACGGAGTAGCGAGGCAATGGCAATGGCAATGGCAACGGTAATGGTAATGGTAATGGCAATGACAATGGCAATGGCAATGGCACTGGTAATGGCCATGGCAATGGTAATGGTAATGGTAAGGGTAAGGGTAAAGGTAGAGGTAGAGGTAATGGTAATGGTAATGGTAATGGCAATGGCAGTGGTAATGGTAGTGGTAATGGTAATGGTAATGGGAGTGGGAATGGGAACGGGAATGGAAATGATACTGGTAGTGGTAGTGGTAATGGCAATGGCACTGGTAATGGTAATGGTCATGGAAATGGCAATGGTATTGGGAATGGGAATGAGAATGGGAATTCTAATGGTAATGGCGGCGGTAATGGTACTGGTACTGGTAATGGTAATGGGAATGGGAATGGAAATGGTATTGGCAATGGTAATGGTAGTGGCGAATGGCAATGGCAATGGCAATGGCAATGGTAATGGCAATGACAGAAGTAATGGTAATGTTACTGATAATGGTAATTGTAACGGTAATGGTAATGGTGACGGGGTAGCGATTGGCGATGTCAATGACAATGACAATGGCAACGGTAATGGTAATGGCAATGGCAATGGGATTGGCAATGGCAATGGCAATGACAATGATGATGGCCATGGCAATGGCAATGGCAATGGTAAGTGTAATGGTAATGGCAATGGTAAAAAAGAAAAAGAACGGGAATGGGAATGAGAATGGGAATGGGAACAAGAACGGGAATGGAAATGGCAGTGGTAACGGAAATGGGAATGATAAGGGTAAGGGTAAAGGTAAAGGTAGAGGTAAAGGTAAAGGTAATGGTAATGTACATGATAATGGTAATGGTAATGGTAATGGTCATGGGAATGGCAAAGGAAATGGTACTGGCAATGGTAGTGGCTAATGGCAATTGCAATGGCAATGGCAACGGTGTAGCGACTGGCAATGACAGTCGCTAATGGTAATGGGGTAGCGACTGGCAATGGCAATGACAATGGCAAGGGCAACGGTAATGGCAATGGCAATGTCAATGGCAATGGGAATGACAATGGCAATGGTAATGGCCATGGCAATGGCAATAGCAATGGTACTGGTAATGGTAATGTGAATGGGAATGGGAATGTGAATGGGAATAGGAATGGGAACGGGAATGGAAATGGCAATGGTAGTGGTAACGGAAATGGGAATGGTAAGGGTAAGGGTAAAGGTAGAGGTAAAGGTAATGGTAATGGTAATGGTACTGGCAATGGCAGTTGTAACGGTAATGGTAATGGTAATGGTATTGGGAATGGAAATGTGAATCGGAATGGTAATGGTACTGGCAATGGTAATGGCAGTGGCGATTGGCACTGGCAATGGCAATGGTAATGGTAATGGTAGTGGCGAATGGCAATGGTAATGGTAGTGGCGGATGGCAATGACAATGGCAATGGTAATGGTAATGGTAATGGCAATGACGGTGGTAATGGTAATGGTACTGGGAATGGTAATGGTGACGGTAACGGTAACGGTAAAGGTTATGGCAATGGTAACGGGGTAGCGACTGGCAATGGCAATGGCAATGGCGATGGCAATGGCAATGGTAATGGTAATGGCAATGGCAATGGGAATGGCAACGGCAATGGCAATAGCAAGGGCCATGGCAATGGTAATGGTAATGGTCATGGTCATGGTAATGGTAATGGTAATGGGGATGGGAATGGGAATGGGATTCGTAGTGGTAATTGGAACGGGAACGGGAATGGAAATGGTAGTGGTAGTGGTAATGATAATGGCAATGGTAATGGTAATGGAAATGGTACTTGTAACGGTAATGGTAATGGCAATGGTGATGGAAATGGGAATTGTAATGGTGATGGCAGCGGTAATGGTAATGGTAATGGTAATGGTAATGGTAATGGTAATGGTAATGGTAATGGTAATGGCAATGGTGTTGGTAATGCTAATGGTAATGGTAATGGCAATGGTAATGGCTAATGGTAATGGGAATGGTAATGGCAATGGCAATGGCAATGGTAATGGTAATGGTAATGGTAATGGTAATGGTAATGGTAATGGTAATGGTAATGGTCATGGTAATTGTAACGGGGTGGCGACTGGCAATGGCAATACAATGGCAATGACAACGGCACTGGTAATGGCAATGGCAATGGGAATGGCGATGGCAATGACAATGGCAATTGTAATGGCCATGGTAATGGTAATGGTAAAGGTAGAGGTAGAGATGAAGGTAAAGGTAAAGGTAATGGTAATGTGAATGGGAATGGGAATGGGGATGGGAATGGGAATGGTAATGGTATTGGAAATGGGAATGGAATGGGAATGGGAGTGGGAGAGATTGAGAGAGGGAGAGAGAGAGAGAGAGAGAGAAAGCGAGAGAGGAAATATCATAATAAAGATGAGGAGCAACGTGAAAGATCGTAAAACATCGTCTGAAACCCACAGGGACTCCACAACCCCCCGGCCTCGAGAACGGGGGAGGAAGAAGAGGAGGAGGAAAAGCGAGGAGGAGCGAGCAGGAGGAGGAGGAGGAGGAGGAGGACGGGCACCATTGGCTGGCGCCCGGGCTCCCGGCCCGCCGCCCGCCCGAGGCGCCAGAGCACCATCGGGCACCCTCGCGGAGCGAATTTGTTCCTTGGACGCCGGCAAGTTGTTTTTCTCTTTCACGGCGTCTTCCTCCCCAGCCACCTTCCCCTTCTTCTCTCCTCTCTCGTCTTCCCTCCTGCTCTTCCCTCCTCCTCCTCCCTCTCGTAAATCCTCCTCCTCCTCCTTCTCCTCCTGCCTCCCCTCTTCTCTTGACGGCGACGCAGACGACGTGGCCGACTGTTGGCGGGGGTCTCCACAGGCCTCTGGAATTCCCCCGGGAGGCCCCTCCCACATGCCTCAAACGCGGGACAGAACTCGATCCCCGATCCTCTAACGACGGCCGCTGCCACCAGAACAGAGGATGACGGAGGACGACAGAACGTATTTTTGTTTAGGTTCTAGTAAATTTACCATTGCTCTCCCCCCCCTCCGCCGCGTCTTCAGACAACGCTGGGCCGAAAATGAGTGCAAGTGGGTCCAGGCTTGCGTAAAGCGCCTGGTCTCGCCACACTCCCGCGGCCTCCCCCCCTCCCACTAAGTGAACCCTCCCACTAACCCTCCATGCAGGTAAACTTACCAAAATCGTAAGAAGTCTGGGACATGATGAGTGAAGGGGTGGAGAGTGAGGAAGAGGAACGCCCTGTGCTTCCCGAGAGGCAGGGTCGAGAGGAGAGAGAAAAAGAGAGAGATTCTGGCAGAAACGCCGGGGCTGACTTGCGTGGCACATCTTGTGGGAGGCAAAGGCCCTCGGCGTCTGCCGAACACAGCCGCTACAACGGCTGCCTTGCACGCGCGCAGGGGTCAGGCGCCCGTGAGGAGCCAGCTCCGGGGCGCGTTCCTCGCCGACGACGAGGCCATCGCGGAGGTGCAGCTGCCTGCGTCTGCGGCCTGGCTGTCAGGGACCTGCGGGCGCCCGGGGGCTGCGCCTGAGCCTTTCGGGCAGCACAGCTGGCAGAACTGCTCCAGAGCGGCGACGAAGGGCTCGAAGCCGAGCTGCTGGTCGAGGCTCTTCGGCCCGGACAGCAGCCCCCCGCGGAGGTCCTGCGCAGACGCGGCCACGCGTGCGAGCAGGCACCTCGTGCGCCGCAGCATGCGCAGGCGGCCCGAGAACTCCTGACGAGGCCCAGGGGCACGCAAATACATACAGGGCAGTTTGTCATACATCGGATTCTTTAAATATATGATTTCAATACATGATTGACTTATGAATAAATGTATGTATGAACTCATCGTTGTTTTGAAAACTAAATCCCTGCGTTTTCAATACATGATCCGCACGCGGAGCATGTATTAAAATTGGCACTGTAGACACGAGTCCCCGGATTCACCAGATTTCGTACATGTTCTGGGCTTTCGCCCCCCCCCTCCCACACTTCCCATAGTTCCCCCTTTTCCCGGGAGTCGACGATTCACTGTGTCTGTGTGTCGTTCCCCTCCCGAACTCCTCCAGAGCGCCGATGGCCTCGTCCAGGTGCACGAGCGCGGTGCCCAGCGCCTCGCCGGCTTGCCTCCCCAGCGCATCGGCATCCGCGCCCGCGCCCCCCTGGGTGCCCTGGCCCTCGAGGGTGACACAGAGGCAGCGATGGACGTAGTGGACCCGATCGATCAGGAGCACGTGGCTGTCAAGAACCTCCTCAACCTCGTCGTGAGGCCCTGCGGCCAGGCTCTGGGCAAGGCCGATCGCGTTGGCCATGGCGGTCCTCTTCGTTCGCGAAGATGCGAGAGCGGCACGCAGCATGGGCAGCGCTCCCGCGGCGACGCCCTCTGCCGCAGAGCCCAGGCGGGCGAGAACCGACGTCGTGTCGTTCTTCAGTTCGCGCAGCCTTGATAGCTCGGTGGTGCGTAGAATGGGGGGCAGGGCGAGGAGGGGGCCTTCCGAGAAGGCAGCGGGCACCTCAGCAGGGGACAAGCCTTATCTGTGGGGCCCCGACCTCTACTCCTGGGAAGGGAACTTGAGAATCGGCGCTGGTATATCCCTGGTCGAAAACCCGCCTGATGTGGCTGCGTCCCTCGTTACTGGGCGCAATCTTAACCCCGCGTGGTCCATCCCAGGTTTAATCTGGCACACTCCAGCTCAATGGCTCAATGGCTCGTAGCTGGGCTTCGTATAGCCTCCAATCGTTCTGACTAGGGCCGCCCCAAAGCTGCAAGTCTCCGTACGAGAGCGAAAGATGGCCTGAGATGGCGGGGCGCAGTCTTAGAAGGCCACCTCCCCCCTCTCTGCCGAACCCCCTGCGCGCCGCCGGATAGTAGCAGGCAGAGCTCGTCCGCCAAATCCTGTACAAGGGGCCCCAGTGGACAACATACATCGGCACACATTTCGAGACGTCCTAAATCTTTCTCGATCCCCTGGATCTTCCTCCTCCCCTCCATTTCCGAGACTTCTCCCCTGATTTTTTACTTATATATATATATATACACCTGCAAATAATCGTTCCTTGACATTTCCAGGAACCCGACCCGAAAACTGTTGACATCTCTGGGGGGGACAGATCTTTTACTCCCGCCAGCTGCCGCCGCCGGCGGACTCGTCCCCGTTTTGCTTCCGCCGCCTTCGAGCCTCGAAGGTCAGGCCCTGTCTGTCCGCGGGCGATCGAAGGGGGGAAATAAGAAGTCCCCCGGCCTTCTGTGAGAAATTCTCTAGGCCTTCCCCGAAGACGCAGCAAGCTTCTCAAAAGGCCAGAGGGCTTATGAGAAGCCCCGCCGCCTTCTCAGGAGGCCTTCTCCTTCTCATTTCCCCTCCAGGCGCGCCGCCAAATTTGGTTGTTGGGTCATAACTGGGGTCTCCGGCGGCCGTTCCATCCAGGCACATCCGGAAAGTTCTCGGCGAGGCGCAGCCGCTGGAACGCATCCCGAGGCTGGAAGGCCTCCGAGAACCGACGAAGACGCCCGGAAAAACCTCCAACCTCCAGCCTTCTTCTTCCCACTTCCACCCCTCGCTTGCCGCCGATTCTGGAAAGCCTCCTCTGTGTTTGGGCATACCGAAAGATCCCGAAATCTCGAACTGCTCCCCAGACCTCTCCCAGGGCGCCTTCCAACCAGGACTTCGAGGACGAGGGCCTCCCAGGAGGCCCAAATAGGCGAAAACGGAGGAAAGGTAAGGGTCTGGGCGCCACCTCGCCAGGAGCGTGTCGTGGAGCTCGCTCCAGCGGCCCGGCCGGGTGAATCGCAGGTTTCATCTGTTGCGCGGCCTCCTCCTCCCCCTCCTCCTCCTCCTCCTCCGCCTCCTCCTCCTCCACAATTACTCAATATGAATACTACTCTCCCTCTTCCCTTGGTGACGTCTTGGGAGTATTCGCCCCCCCCCGGCGTACTTTTTGTTCCCAACCCTCCTTGGTTGGGTATTCGTTTTGAATAGAGCAGTGTGGTCGCGTCCCTTCTCCTCCCGCCTCTTCCTGTCTTGCCCGCGGGGGGCTGCGATCTGTGAAACCGTCGCCATTTTCGAGGCCTGCTGGGGGGCCCAGCACAGTGAGGGCCACGCGCGGATTCAAATTAGACCTCGCCATCCCTGGGGGGCTGCGATCTGCGAAACTGTCGCCATTTTCGAGGCCTGCTGGGGGGCCCAGCACAGTGAGGGCCACGCGCGGATTCAAATTAGACCTCGCCATCCCTGGGGGGCTGCGATCTGCGAAACTGTCGCCATTTTCGAGGCCTGCTGGGGGGCCCAGCACAGTGAGGGCCACGCGCGGATTCAAATTAGACCTCGCCATCCCTGGGGGGCTGCGATCTGCGAAACTGTCGCCATTTTCGAGGCCTGCTGGGGGGCCCAGCACAGTGAGGGCCACGCGCGGATTCAAATTAGACCTCGCCATCCCTGGGGGGCTGCGATCTGCGAAACTGTCGCCATTTTCGAGGCCTGCTGGGGGGCCCAGCACAGTGAGGGCCACGCGCGGATTCAAATTAGACCTCGCCATCCCTGGGGGGCTGCGATCTGCGAAACTGTCGCCATTTTCGAGGCCTGCTGGGGGGCCCAGCACAGTGAGGGCCACGCGCGGATTCAAATTAGACCTCGCCATCCCTGGGGGGCTGCGATCTGCGAAACTGTCGCCATTTTCGAGGCCTGCTGGGGGGCCCAGCACAGTGAGGGCCACGCGCGGATTCAAATTAGACCTCGCCATCCCTGGGGGGCTGCGATCTGCGAAACTGTCGCCATTTTCGAGGCCTGCTGGGGGGCCCAGCACAGTGAGGGCCACGCGCGGATTCAAATTAGACCTCGCCATCCCTGGGGGGCTGCGATCTGCGAAACTGTCGCCATTTTCGAGGCCTGCTGGGGGGCCCAGCACAGTGAGGGCCACGCGCGGATTCAAATTAGACCTCGCCATCCCTGGGGGGCTGCGATCTGCGAAACTGTCGCCATTTTCGAGGCCTGCTGGGGGGCCCAGCACAGTGAGGGCCACGCGCGGATTCAAATTAGACCTCGCCATCCCTGGGGGGCTGCGATCTGCGAAACTGTCGCCATTTTCGAGGCCTGCTGGGGGGCCCAGCACAGTGAGGGCCACGCGCGGATTCAAATTAGACCTCGCCATCCCTGGGGGGCTGCGATCTGTGAACCTGTCGCCACTTTCGAGGCCTGCTGTGATCCCCGTTTTCGAAGTGGCTAGGAGTGCTCAGGAATTGTAAATCATCAGCTTTATCAAACCCTTTTCCTGTAGCCAGTGTCCTGCGAGTCTCCCGAATTCCGTCTGCAGACATATGTAACCCTCGCTCCGTCATCGTCCCCTTATAAAGTATCCTGAACTATTTGCGCCCCGCTTTTGCGCAGGGGTGAGGTACGTCGCCAGGGTAATTTTACACATTGCACACTGGTTTTCCCGGAATTGGGTTTTCGCCTTCATTACCTAACAGCTTTTGCTTATAGGTTTCTAATGGTCTCAAAAGAGAGCAGCAAATGACTCCACAGGGGGGTCGGGGCGGGACCCGGGGCGCTGCCGCAGAAGCCCAAATCGCTTTGGACATCCTCGCAAAATCGCTCTTGGCGCTGCTAGAACTCCATCCCTGGCGTACATTTTGGATGCCCGGAACCAACTGTAAGCCACTTCGTGGTCTTCGAGTTCCCAGAACTCCATTCCCGGCGTACATTTTGGATGCCCGGAGCCGACTGTAGGCCACTTCGTGCTCTTGGACTTCCCAGAACTCCATTCCCGGGCCACATTTTGGATGCCCGGAGCCAACTGTAGGCCACTTCGTGGTCTTCGAGTTCCCAGAACTCCATTCCCGGGCCACATTTTGGATGCCCGGAGCCAACTGTAGGCCACTTCGTGCTCTTGGACTTCCCAGAACTCCATTCCTGGGCATGATTTTGAATGCCCGGAGCAAACTGTAGGCCACTTCGTGTTCTTCGAGTTCCCAGAATTCAACTCCCTGGCCACATTTTGAATGCTGAGGCAGGCTGATGCTGCAGGCTGAATGCTGAGGCAGGCTGAGGCTGAAGCAGGCTGAGGCTGCAGGCTGAGGCTGAGGCTGCAGGCTGAGGCTGAGGCAGGAGGCTGAGGCTGAGGCTGATGCAGGCTGAGGCTGAGGCAGGCTGAGGCTGAGGCCGAGGCTGAAGGCAGACTGAGGCTGAGGCTGAAGAGGCTGAGGCTGAGGCTGCAGGCTGAGGCTGAGGCTGAGGCTGAGGCTGAGGCTGAGGCTGATGCAGGCTGAGGCTGAGGCAGGCTGAGGCTGAGGCCGAGGCTGAAGGCAGACTGAGGCTGAGGCTGAAGCAGGCTGAGGCTGAGGCTGAGGCAGGCTGAGGCTGAGGCTGAGGCAGGCTGATGCTGAGGCAGGCTGAGGCTGAGGCTGAGGCTGATGCAGGCTGAGGCTGAGGGCTGAGGCTGAGGCTGAGGCTGAGGCCGAGGCTGAGGCTGAAGCAGATGAGGCTGAGGCTGAGCAGGCTGAGGCTGAGGGAGGCTGAGGCTGAGGCTGAGGCAGGCTGATGCTGAGGCAGGCTGAGGCTGAGGCTGAGGCTGATGCAGGCTGAGGCTGAGGCAGGCTGAGGCTGAGGCAGGCTGAGGCTGAAGGCAGGCTGAGGCTGAGGCTGAGGCTGAGGCTGAGGCAGGCTGAGGCTGAGGCTGAGGCAGGCTGAGGCTGAGGCAGGCTGAGGCTGAGGCCGAGGCTGAAGGCAGACTGAGGCTGAGGCTGAAGCAGGCTGAGGCTGAGGCTGAGGCAGGCTGAGGCTGAGGCTGAGGCAGGCTGATGCTGAGGCAGGCTGAGGCTGAGGCTGAGGCTGATGCAGGCTCAGGCTGAGGCAGGCTGAGGCTGAGGCCGAGGCTGCAGGCAGACTGAGGCTGAGGCTGCAGGAGCAGGCTGAGGCTGAGGCTGAGGCAGGCTGAAGCTGAGGCTGAGGCTGATGCTGAGGCAGGCTGAGGCTGAGGCTGAGGCTAATGCAGGCCACTGCGACTGTCATCGCGAATGCGACTACGACTGCGAGAACAGCAGAACTCTACAACTGGATTCTCATCTGAATCTTAAGGGGGATGCTTCCAGATATGCTCCTACACATCGCTGTTAGGTTGCTTTGCCGGGATAATTTTTGTTCCAAAATGCTGCTCTCGCTAAGGCGCTCATTTTCGGGCCCCGCTCGTTCCGAATCGTGCTCCCGCTTCAGCGCTGGCATCACTTTTCCGCCGGCGCCCGGGCTGCACGCCCGAGCCGGCGCCCGGGCCGGCGCGCGGGCCAGGTCCAGAGCCGGTTCCGGCCGCCGCCGGAAAATCGAGTTCCGAGGCGGCGCCGAAAAAAGGCAATTCTAAACATTTTTCTTTTGAAAATGCTGAATTTCTGCTTCCGGCGCCTGGGAGGCCTCCCGGGCCGATTCCGGCGTGCTTCCGCTCGTTCCGAATCGTGCTCCCGCTGCAGCGCTGGCCTCATTTCCGCGCTTCCGCTCGTTTCGACTCGTGCTCCCGCTGCAGCGCTGGCATCATTTCCCGTGCCATGCCACGGCATGCAATGCAATGCTAGGTTGATGCTACGCTTCGCGGTGCTCTTTTACGCCATGCCACGCCGTGCTCTACAATGCATCGCGTACCCTTTCGGGATCATTGCCCTGCTCGACATCCGACTGTGCGAGTAGAGAGGGGATCTGCGCCATGGCAAGGGATGGGAGGGAGGGGTAGGATGTCAGATATGACGCGAGCGCACCTGGCTTGTCCTCCTCCCCCTCCCCCTCTTCCTCCTCCTCCTCCTCCTCCTCCTCCTTCTCCTCCTCCTCCTCCTCCTCCTCCTCCTCCTCCTCCTCCTCCTCCTCCTCCTCCTCCTCCTCTGTGCCCGTGCCGACGTTTCCCCTCCCGGAGCTCCTGGTCCACCTCGCGGAGCAGGCCGGCGGCGGCCTCGAGCGGCGGCTCGAGAGCGCAGGCCGCCCGGGGCGGGGCCGCGCGGGGCGGAGAGCAGGCCCCCGGCGACTGCAGCACCTCGCGAGCGGCAGGCCCAAGAGGAGCCGAGGCTTGTGCTGTTCCCATCGTGCTTGAGGACCACATCCCAGAAATAGCTTCAGGCACCCAGAAGAATGTCGAAAGAGTGCCGAACGAGTGTCGAAGCAGTGTCTCCCGGGGCCCGACACGTAGAAACCCTCGAGTTGTTGGATACTTTTCTGGCGCTCGAATGTTTGTTCTGGTGATTAAGGCTACAGTAGGTTGGAACATCATAAGCCGAGGCTCCAGACAGGTTTCGGGTACAGTCGGACTTGGTTGGAGAGGACACGCGGGAGGGCAGGGAGACCCTTCCGAGGGCCACGTTGCCACAGGAATGCAGGAGGCATGGGTCGCGAGACACGGGACACGAGGGTACCCTTGATCTGGCAGGGTCGACCTACTAATGGGAACTTGATTTTTTATCGTGTGGGGAAAGAAAATGACGCAAACAGAAAAACTCGGAGGTCCGCATGGATTTCTCGGATCGGCGCTGGGGCCCCCCTGCGGCGCCTCTGGCGCCGCCCCTGGCGCCGCCCCTGGCGCGCTCCGCGCGCCAGGGAGGGGGTCGAGCGCCGATCCGAGAAATCCGCGCGGCCCTCCGAGTTTTGATGATTATGTCATTGTTCGTTCTCCTAGATCGACTACAAGACCCCCCCGCTTAGTCTAGTCAATCCCGACACTGACATGACCCAGGCCCTGTCGACACCGCGCCAAATCGAACCTGACCCATCGAAGTTGACGTGGCCAACGGCTCGGCGACACCAGTGTGTGACGCGCGAGCGGCGTAGCAAATGATGTACCAGAGATGTGGTCCACGCACAAGCACAAACAACATGCTCAATGGAGAAAGTCGCCGGCGCCGAGGCGGCAGCAACATTTTCAATCAGAGATGTGGTCCACGCACAAGCAAGAACAACATGCTCCATGAAGGATACTGCCAGCGCTTTAGCGACAGCAGCATTTTCAATCAGAGATGTGGCCCACGCACAGGCGAGAACGACATTTTCAATGTAGGAAGTCGCCAGCGCATAGGCGACATCAACATTTTCAATCAGAGATGTGGTCCACGCACAGACGGGAACAACACGCTCAATGAATGATGTCGGCGGCGCTTGGGCGACCGCAACATTTTCAATCAGATATTTGGCTGGGGCCTAGGCGAGAACGACATTCTCAATGAAGGACGGCGCCAGCGCCTAAGCGACAGCAGCATTTTCAATAAGAGATGTGGCCCACGCACAGGCGAGCACAGCACGCTCAATGAAGGATGTCGCCAGCTCTTAAGCAACAACAGCATTTTCAATCAAAGATGTGGCCCACGCACAAGCAGGAGCATCATTCCGGGACAATCGCGACGCCAGAATGCAAGTGTCACGCCTATTCCGCGCGGGCCGGGCTCGGTGTTACCGAGGTATGGGCTACGTTAGGTGGGTAGTCTACGTTAGGGGGGGGGTACAGATCTGATGTATCCCAAACCTGACTTTTTTGTAGAATCTATCAGGAGAACGTAGCATGTTCCGTGGATCTACGAAACATTCCAAGTATTTGCGCAGATTCGGCGAAAAAACAATTCTGGGGCAAATCATTCCAGCAGTCGATCTCCAACTCGAAAACTGACAACATTGGAGCGGGCGAATTATTCTTATATTTGCGACTCCAGGGGCCCTCAAGGGGCTCTGGGACCGTCAACAGAACGGCTCGGGAGGAAAAACGGTTACTGCGCTCCATGGAAGAATCCAGTCCACAAAAATCCTCGAACAACCTCCGCCAACCCCTCCAAGATGCACAATACCCACTTAGGCATGTGGCCGGTGCTGAGGCGAGAGCACCACGCCTGATGATGAGGGATATGGCTAGCGCGAAGGCGACATCACCAATCCCAGACGGGAATGTAGCCAGCCTCAGAGCTCTGGCGAGAGCACCATTCCCAATCATGGAGGTTGCTGGCACTCGAGCGGCAGCATCATACGAACCAAATAGAGGATGTGGCCGACGTTGAGGCGAGAGTACCGTTCCCAATCAGGGACGCGGCCAGCGCGCAGTGTTGCGAGTATGTCTCAGGCGAAACTGGCCAGACCGACTTTCGCGCGGCATCTCCGAACAAGAAATTGTGAGAACGTCTCGGGTGAAACTCCCCAGGGGGACCTCCGATCAGGGCACCTCTGAGCCCACAGGTGCGGGGATGTCCCCGGCGAAACTTGCCAGGCAACCTCGTGCGCGGCATTCTTGCCCAAAAATCTGAAGGAAGTCTCATGCGAATGGCTGGACCACCCCAGGTCAAAGTACCGGTAGGACCACCCTACGGGTGACAAGGAGGTTTGGGGGGAAGGGGGAGGCGGTCGATGTGCGATGGCTCTGGGTTCTTTGATGGTTTGTTCAATTTTGTATTGTCGCGAGCATCTGCCCATCTATCGATCGACCTATCTATCTACTTATAAATGGTGGAAAACCAGATACCGCTATCTCTATCTCTATCTATATATCACTCGAGCAGACCATGGATCGATCAATCTATATACATATATATGTATATACATTTCCATGTATGTTTATATATATCTATGGCTATACATATAAATGTGTATATATGACGATTTATATATGTACACATATCTCTGTATATATATATATATATATATATATAATCCCCTTCCTATAGTTTTATAATCCCGGGCCGGGGGAAAACCCGTCACCCCCCCCCCCCCCCCCAAACCGGACTCCCGGGATCTGGGGTTTGGGGACCCTCCAGACGGGCCTCGAAGCGGCCCCCCGGGCCTCGCAGGGCGTTTCAGAAAGCCTTCCCAGCACCCGAAGACGGCCCCAGACAGGTTCCAGGCGTTCCGGCGCGCTCCCGAAACGACCCCAGAGAGCCCCAATACGGTCCACGACGACGCCCACGAAGCCGTCATACCCCCAAAGATCGCTCCGAAACGTGCCAAGAGGCCTCCAAGAGCACTCCAAAGAAGGACCCAAGAGGCAACAATCTGTGATTTTCCATAGGTTTTTGGTAAATTTTGGGGCTACCACTTTTCGGCTTCCCGACGATCCAAGACGGCGGTCTTCTGGGTTTCCGAAGCCGCCTGGGAGGCTCCAAAATCGCCCCACAACTATCCGAAAGGGCTTCCAGGCAGGGCACAACAGGGGTCCAAGATGGCCCTAAGAGTGCCCCATGGCGGCCCAAAATGGCCCGAAGGCACGCTCTGAAGCATTCCAAATCGTGACCCAGTCATTCAGGGAGACCGCGGTTGGAGGCAGGGTGGCCCGAGGAAGTCCCCAGACGACCCCAGAACACGCCCAGGAGGCCTCCAAAAGGCCTTGAGAAAGCCTGACAAAATTTGTGAGGCACCCCGAGGCTCTCCAAGGAGGAGCCTCCGCAATAAAGAACTGAGGCGGATGGGGAGAATGCGCAGGATATGGCGAGAATGAAGAAACAGAAATATGAAAGAAAGATAACGAAGAACATTATGATAACGACGATGCCGGAAAAGGCAACAAGGAGTTGTCGCTAAATTGCCGGCTTGACCTTCCTGCCATTCCGCCTGCATGCCGAACTTTCAGGACCAAGGTGCATGGCGCGAAGCGCCAATGTAGTCTTGTATGTATATATATATATATGTATCGATATACATGTGTGTCTCTCAGTCTACTGACATATAGACCTATCAGTCTATCCATTTTGATATATATATATATACCCATATCAACCATCGGGGCAACCATCGGGATAACCATCTGGACAAGATATAACAAGATCTATATATATATATATCTATCTATCGTTCTATAAACCATCGGGACAACCATCGCGACAACCATACACCAACATCTACCTATCTATCTATCTATCCATCTACCTATCTACCAGCCATCGGGACGCCCATCGGGGCAACCATCGGGACAACCATCAGGACAACCACAACCATCGGGACAACCGTCGGGGCAACCACCGGGACAACCATCGGGACAACCACAACCATCGGGACAACCGCCGGGACAACCCCCGGGACAACTGGGAGCCACGCCCGGCGCTCGGGGGGGGGTGGGGGGCGGTCCTTTTGGCAATAGATGGCCCCTACCGGTGGGAGCCTCGCCCGCACGCACGACACGAACCGAAACTGAAACCGGTTTCCCAATTGGGGTCACTTCCGTTCCAACCCCCCAACCTCCGATATCGGAGCCCTCGGACAACCTCGCGCACTGCATCTCCGAGACCAGAGATGCGGGGACGCTGGCATCTCCGAGCCCAGCATTGCAAGATTGTGTCAAGGCAAACTGGCCAGACCACCTCAATTCAGGGCACCTCCGAACCCAGAGTTGCGAGGACGTCTCCTGCGAAACTGGCCAGACCACCCTGCATGTTGGCGGATGTCTCCGAGCGCTGGCCCCATTGACCAGAACTAGCTTCTACCGCAAAAGGGCCCCGATCAGCACAACTGTTTCGGGAAGCGCGGAAAAAAAGGCCGTGCGAACGGGAGCGGAAGGATGTCCACGAGAGACGAGGAACGGACAGGAGAGGAAAGGGAAAGAGAGGCGATATTTCCAGCTGGGCTTCCCCGGCTGTACCGTGTTTTTGATGGGATGTATGAAAATGAAATGTGCACGTTCTGACAAGACAACGCGGTCCAAACAACCCTTTGGACAGCCCTGCAAGGATCCGGACCCTCCCCCCACTGGACAACCCCCCTTGGACAAGCCTCCCCAGGTGTTCTTCATAGGACATAATACTAGGGAAGCCGTCCAGACCCCTGGCGATCCCAGAAACCCGCCACACAGAAATGTTGCCATCTCTTGAGGGCGCATCTTTTACTTCCGCCAGCTTCCGCCGGCGGAGGTGGCTGTGCTTTGCTCCCGCCGACCTTCCGCTGGGCAGGAGATGACAGCTCCCTCGGCCAAAAGCGAGGCCCTTTCTGGCACACCTGATGTCCGTATCCGCGCCATCGGGGTCTGGATTCCGGGGCGCGGTCCCGCAAGTACGCGGCCTGCCGCACGCCGGCGTTCCGCGCGGGGCATCCGCAGAATTCCACAGAGGCACCGTTCCCGGCGGTGTGCACTCGGACAGGCTCTTGCACTGCAGCTCGGGCGGGAGGGTCGACTGCGTCCTCTGCTCTGCGAGGTGCTTCGCCTCGTCCCCGCTCATCCCGCGGAAGCCGTGTGGGTCCGCGGCGGCGATTGGCGCCGCAATCATCGGACGAGCGAGTCCACCGCCCAAGGCGCCACTCTTGAGCGAAAGCGCCTGCAGGAGGAGCGGGGCGGATGATCCGTCTGTTGTCGCTCAGATGCTGCTGCTCGCCTGCAGCCTGCCAGCCTACCATGGGAGATAGCGAACGCGCCCCAGAGTCGGGCGTTGGCAGAACTGGGTTTAGTGGGACCTGGTTTAGCGATGTGTACCGGGGGACGCCCCCCCCGCCCCGTTCCACTAACTGGAACTGCCGTCACCCGGAAAAACACCAATTACGGCAAACCTGGTTTAGCGACTCTGGCCAATTTAGGGGCTCCGGGGCGTTACCACTAACCGGGTCCCCTTACCTGGGGTCCTGGCTATACCCGACAGAGAACCGCCCCAAATATCGGCGGTGGACAAACCTCCCTTTAGTAAAACCCCCCCTAGTGAAAGCGGCCTTTGGACCGAAACCGACGGACCCGGACCCGCAAAAGTGACGGCCGAGACGCCCCCATCGCGAACCGCAAACGGCCAATGCTTGAATCGACGTGTCTGGGCAGGAGGTCTATCAACCTCCGAATTCAAAACGACAAAAAAACACACCGTGGCAATGCCCCAAACATGCTCAAACATGCCCCCCAAAACCGTCCCCCAAAAATGCCGCCCCCGAAGCCGCCCCGAACAGGAGGACAACCACGGTCGAGAGCGCCCGCTTGCCGTGGCGCGGCGGCGGCCCGGGCGGCGCCGCCCTGCGAGCGGAGCCGACGTGCCGCTCCGCGCGCGCGGCAGGCCTGCGAAGGGCGCCCGCGGGGCGCGGAGAGTCGCCGGGGGGGGGGGGCCGGCGCGGGGCCGCGTCGTGCCGCGCCAGAGCGCGGCGGGCTCGGCACCACGAGGGGGCCACACGCGAGCCCTATAGCCCTATGCCCCCCACGATGTTTTCGGTCCTCGAGAGGGCGCCGTGGCCGTTACTTTCCAGGCTTACTCCCGCCAGGTTTGGGCCTCAGGTCGTTTTAACAGGGGGCCACATGCGAACCCTACCCCTACCCCCCACGATTTTTGAGTGGGAGGGCGGGGTGCACTTCGCTCGGGAGCTCTCGAGCGCAGTGAGCCCCACCCTCCCCCTCAGAAAGCGTGTGGCACGGGGCCCGCGTGCCGCGCCAGAGCTCGGGGATGGACAGCCCCCCCTCTAGTAAAACGCGGTACGTGGTTTAGTGAAATAGGGGGCCACATGCGAACCCTACCACTAAAACACACAATTTCTGAGGGGGAGGGTGGGGTTGACTTCGATCGGGAGCTCCCGAGCGAAGTGAACCCCACCCTCCCACTCAAAAATCGTGGGGGGTAGGGGTAGGGTTCGCATGTGGCCCCCTGCTAAAACGACCTGAGGCCCAAACCTGGCGGGCGTAAGCCTGGAAAGTAACGGCCACGGCGCCCTCTCGAGGACCGAAAACGGACAATGCACTAATCGACGTGTCACTGCCGGGGGTTCTGTCCACCCCCGAAGAGCGTGGCGGGCTGGCACCAGGCAGATCGGCACGCAGCGCAAGCGTGCCGGACCGCCGACCTTGCAAACAAAATGCAGCATCGCAAAAAAGCGCGCCCAGAGCCCTGGACCACATCTTTCTGCGTCATTTTTCGAGCTGGATCGATCTGTGAGGGTCCCGGGGCCCGAAATTGAGCTAAAGTTCCAGTTGTGAAAAAAAATTGCAACGCCAGGGTCTCAGGGCTTCCAGGGGGGTGCGGTCGGTCGGGAACTTTTGGACAGCGTGCCGCCACGGCGTCCCGGGCGCGAAGTGGGGCGGCACGCCGTGCCTTGGCGCGTGGAGGGCGTGTCGCTCCAGCTTCACGCTCGGGACGGCGGCGCTGGGGGGCCAGGGAGTGGACAGCGTGTCGCGCCGACGCGCGGCGGAACCCGGAGCCGGTGGCGCGACACGCGATGCCGAAGTTTTTCCGACGGCAACTCTCCCCCCTGTGGGAAGGCTAGGAAATTAGGAACTGAGGAGGAGGAGGAGGAGGAGGAGGAGGAGGAGGAGGAGGAGGAGGAGGGCTATCAGCCTTGGACGCCTGCGCAGGCGTGGCCACGGGAAGCGAGGCGGCGTCGGCGCGCCGTGGGTCCCCAGTGTGTCAGGAGGTGGCAGCGGAGGTCTCCAGCTCCCGGTCTGGAGGCGCCGACGGTCCGTTCTGAGGGCGGGGCGCCTCGAAAGGCTCACGAGGGGGCCCTGGGACAAGATGCTGCAGGCTCGTTGGATCGTCCCGAAGTTCACTCTGGCGCTCCTCCCCCGTTTCTGAACACTCTGGGCTGCTTCCCGAAAATATACAACGATCGAAGACGGGCAACTCCTCCTCCTCCTCCTCCTTCTTCTCCGCATCCTTCCCCTCCTTTCTATCTTTCTCCTCCTCCTCCTTCTCATCCTCCTCCTCGTCCTCCTCCGCGTCCTCTGACTCTTCCTCATCCTCCTTCTGATTATCCTTCATCCACTCCCAGAGGTCCCTGGAGGTCCCCAACGACATCCAGAGGCCTCCCAGTACCACAAAGTCATAGCAAACCAACAACATGTAACCTGATCGTCCTACCCCTGCTCCTCCATCGTTCCTTCCTTCCCTCATGTATTTCCCCCTCTGCGCCTCCTGATGAGAAGCAGGATCGTAAGAGGGAGGGGGAAGCTGATGATGCGGAGGAGCAGGGAGGAGAAGGACGGAGGAGGAGAGAAGAGAGCAGGAGAAGGATGGAGGGGGAGGGCCTCGTGCCCCCCCCTCCCTCGCGCAAGGGGTGGCCCCGGGCTCTATAGGCAAGAGAGGCCCGCGGTGTCCAGCCTGCCGATCGCTGCACGCGGCGCGACAGGACTGGGCCCGCGTGCTCGGGTGTGGGCCCCCCCCCACTGCCAGGAGGAGGAGGAGGAGGAGGAGGAGGAGGAGGAGGAGGAGGAGGAGGGCGACGTGCCAGCTGCCCAGTTCGACCATCAACGCATCCTGCGGGCCAGGGGAGCACGGCAGGATCCAGCAGGGCGCCGCGGCAGCAGAGAGAGAGCAGCAGCAGGAGGGGGGACGGGGGGAGACCCGCGGGGCCGAGGGAGACCAAAAGGGTACCAACCGCGGAGCAGGACGACGAGGAGGAGGGGCCCAAAGTCCAGATCTCGAGCGTCTGTCCGCACGTGCGCAAGGAAGGCAGAGAGAGAGGGGGGGGGAGAGAGAGAGAGAGAGAGAGAGAGAGAGAGAGAGAGAGAAACAAAAAAAAAGAGAGAGAGAGAGAGAGAGGAAAAACAACGGTGAGGAGAGGCAGAAACAAGGTTCCCTGTCGACGATCAGAAGAGGAGGACAGAAACGGATCCGGGACCCTGGGGCCTTCCCTGGCGGCGCGCACAAAGGGGGCAGGGGGAGGGGGGGAGAAGGCTTCTTGGACGGAGGCTGCGTCTCAGGAGGCGCGGGCCTCACATCAACAGATGGGACCCGCTAGGGGGCCGCATGCGAACCCTACCCCTGCACCCCTCAGAAAGCGTGGGGGGTAGGGGTAGGGTTCGCATGTGGCCCCCTACCCGCGCCTTCTGAGAAGCAAGGGGTGCTCCTGAGGAGCCTTCCGCCCCCCCCCTCCCCCGCACCCCCCGCAGCTGCCGCAGCTCTCCGTCCTGCGTGCAGTGATGCTCCTGGGGTGCGCTCTCCCTGGCAGGCCGGCGGGCGCCGCGGGAGCCACATACCTTTGCGGAGAGCGCCACGCCCGGGCCGGTCAGGGGCAGGGAGGCACCCAGGGCAAGGGGGGAGGGCGCGGAGCGGGTGATGGGGGCAGGAGGAGACGAGCGCGTTCCACGACTTGCAAAGTGACTACTCGCAAATGGCCTGGATCCGCCGCGGGGGATCTACGATAGCTTACATCGAAGCAAACATGTGTTTTTCAGACGTTTGCGAGTAGGCACTTTGCGAGTACTGGAACGCGCTCGGTGAAAGAGGAGCAGGAGGAGGACGATGAGCCGGCCATGGCAAACAGTCCCCGAAGGAAGGGCCGGCTTCTCGTCCTGAGCCGTCTTCTGACGGTCCCAGGGCCCCGCGAAGGCCCCATGAGGGCGAAAACGGCACCCCCCCTCACCCTCTTAGGGAACTCAGAATGTACCAATACACCTACTCCCCGAAGCATCTGGCCGCATCGGATCGCCGGAACATCGAGGCGAACTGAATCGGGACGGCCAGAGCAGGGACCAACCGTCCGGGCATTCCTATAGTCCTACCACGACATGTTCTTAGAACCCAAAATTAGAACATAAACCCGATGTGATAAATCCAGACAGCCTCCGCCAGAAATGTTCTAAGAACATTTCGTGGAAACCACAAAAGGTTCTTAGAACATTGTTTGGTAGGGCTGTAGGCGAGCCAGGACGCTTCGCCACTGCTTGAGTAGCGGTGTCGATACGGGCTGGTGCGTGTCGTGCCGACTTCGGCGCTGGTTCCTCACACCGCGGCGATCGTACAACCTTGCACGATCGACCGTTTTTGAAACGCCCGATCGCTCAACATCAACCGATTCTGGGTCGCCTTTGGCGTCCAGCGTTGAACGCCGGCTCTGGCCCGTCGCGCTGTTGTTCATGACGCGGAGACGTCAACGAAAACGAAAACGGCGCCGCAGATCAGACGTTGGACACATTGAAATCCCACGTCGAGAAAAACCACGAACGGAGCCCTTGACCCCATCTTTCTGTTTCAACTTTTCGAGCGGGGTCGACCCGTGATGGTCCCGGGGTCCGGCACCAAGCGAAGACGCATGGTGCGAAACAAAACATGCAACGCCTGGATTTCGGCGCTTCTTTCGGCGGCGAGCGAGGGGCTGAAGTGAGAAGGAGAAGGCCTTCTCAGAAGGCGGCGGGGCTTCTCAGAAACCCTCGTGCCTTCTGAACAATTTTCCGCATCTTCGGGGAAGGCTCAGAAAACTTCTCAGAAAGTTCAGAAGGCCTGAGGCCTTCCGAGCCTTCTGAGAAGGCCCGCCCCTTCTC